GTTGAACCTTCTTGAGGTAATATGTGAGTGTTCCTCCTTTACTTCTCCTTCCATCACTTCTTTTGCATATTTTCTTCTTTCCATTCTTTTTCTTCTTTTACTTCCATTTTCTTTCCTCGCCTTTTTTCCTTCATTTTTGTCTTGTCTTTTTCCTTCCTTTTTCTTGATTCTGTATTTTTATTCTTTCCTGTTGATTTTTCTTCTTTTCTCCTTTTTGTACCTGTATAGTTGTTGTTTTTCTTCTTCCTTCCTATCTTTTTTAATCATCTTTATCTCTTTTGTTTTTCTTTTTCCTTCCTATCTTTTTTAATCATCTTTATCTCTTTTGTTTTCCTTTTTTCTTACCCACCTTCTTTCACTCACTTCTTTCTTCCTCAAATTTTCTTTCCCATTGTATAAAATGTTGAAAGAACGAACATTCTTAATATTCCAAAAATGTTCTCTGTTCCTCCTGCCCTGCCTTCTCCTCCCACTTTGTCTCTCCTCCTGCCCTTTCTCTCTCCTCTGCCTTGTCTCTCCTCCTGCCTTGCTCTCCTCCTGCCTTGTTCCCTACTTCTGCCTCCTCCCTCCTCTGTCTCACCTCCCGCATCCCCACCTCCCATCTCTGTCTCCACCAGTACTGCCCCTTTAGATCACTATGTGAAGACCCTGAACTTAGAGTTAACAGAAGCTCAATAAAAAGTATTGTTTTCTATTTAGGGAAAGAGGTTAATGTATTACATGTAAATATATAATGATGGTTCGTGTTCGGAAAGGTAAGGATAATGAGTTAGAATTAAGGCTGTGAGTTATGCTAAGTATGCTTGTGAAAGTGAGGTTAATAGAATAATAATAAGGTTGTGGTTATGAGAAGTAAGGTTGTTAGTTATAATAAGTAAGGTTGTGAGTTATGAGAAGTAAGGTTGTAAGTTATAATAAGTAAGGGGAGTTAGAGAAGAAGGTTAGTTATGAGAAGTAAGGTAAAGTTATAATAAGTAAGGTTGTGAGTTAGAAGTAAGGTTGTGATATGATACATTAGGGGAGTTATGAGAAGTAAGGTTGTGAGTTATGAGAAGTAAGGTTGTGAGTTATGAGAAGTAAGGTTGTGAGTTATGAGAAGTAAGGTTGTTAGTTATAAGTAAGGTTGAATTATGATAAGTAGGGTTGTGAGTTATGAGAAGTAAGGTTGTTAGTTATAAGGGTAAGGAGTTATGAGAAGTAAGGATAGGAAGTAAGGTTGTGAGTTATGAGAAGTAAGGTTGTGAGTTATGAGAAGTGGAAGAAAGGAGTGAGGTTGAGAGTTATGAGGTAAGTGTGAGTTATGAGAAGTAAGGTTGTGAGTTATGAGAAGTAAGGTTGTGAGTTAGAAGTAGGTTGTGAGTTATGAGAAGGTTGGAAGAGAGAAGTAAGTTGTGAGTTATGGAGAAGGTGTGAATTATGATACAGGGTTGTGAGTTATGAGAAGTGGTTGTGAGTTGAGAAGGTTGTTATAATAAGGTTAGAGTAGAGATAAGGTTGTGAGTTATGAGAAAGGTTGTGAGTTATGATATAAGGTTGTGAAGGTGATACATTAGTGTGAGTTATGATAAATAAGGTTGTGAGTTATGATAAGGTTGTGATATGAGAAGGACAGGAGTTATGAGAAGTAAGGTTAGGTTATATAAGAATTATGAGAAGTAAGGTTGTGAGTTATGAGAAGTAAGGTTGTTAGTTATAAGTAAGGTTGTGAATTATGATAAGTAGGGTTGTGAGTTATGAGAAGTAAGGTTGTTAGTTATAATAAGTAAGGTTGTGAGTTATGAGAAGTAAGGTTGTGAGTTATGAGAAGTATGGTTGTGAGTTATGAGAAGTAAGGTTGTGAGTTATGAGAAGTAAGGTTGTGAGTTATGAGAAGTAAGGTTGTGAGTTATGAGAAGTAAGGTTGTGAGTTATGAGAAGTAAGGTTGTGAGTTATGAGAAGTAAGGTTGTGAATTATGATAAGTAGGGTTGTGAGTTATGAGAAGTAAGGTTGTGAGTTATGAGAAGTAAGGTTGTAAGTTATAATAAGTAAGGTTGTGAGTTATGAGAAGTAAGGTTGTGAGTTATGAGAAGTAAGGTTGTGAGTTATGATAAGTAAGGTTGTGAGTTATGATACATTAGGTTGTGAGTTATGATAAATAAGGTTGTGAGTTATGATAAGTAAGGTTGTGAGTTATGAGAAGTAAGGTTGTGAGTTATGATACATTAGGTTGTGAGTTATGAGAGGTAAGGTTGTGATTTATGATAAGTAAGGTTGTGAGTTATGAGAAGTAAGGTTGTGAGTTATGATAAGTAAGGTTGTGAGTTATGATAGGTAAGGTTGTGAGTTATGATACATTAGGTTGTGAGTTAGGACAAATAAGGTTGTGAGTTATGATAAGTAAGGTTGTGAGTTATGATACATTAGGTTGTGAGTTATGATAAGTAAGGTTGTGAGTTATGATAAGTAAGGTTGTGAGTTATGATACATTAGGTTGTGAGTTATGATAAATAAGGTTGTGTTATAAAGAGTCCGGTAATTAAGGATGATGTTTAAAAGTAGGATAAACAAACATTTATATTCGTCTGAAGTATTGCTGAGTTATATTCCCCATCATCATCGTCATCATCCTTACCATCAGCATCTTTATCATCATCGTCATCATCATCATCATCATCATTGTCATTACCATCTGCATCTTTATCATCATCGTCATCATCATCATCATCATCATCATCATCATCATCATCACCATCATCATCATTTCATCATCATCATCATCATCATCATCATCATCATCATCATCATCATCACCACCACCACATTCACTGCCACTATCATCACAGTTATCACCACCACCATTATCAACATTATTACAGTTTATCACCAACACCCACCCCAGTTAACCTCCACCACTTCCACCACAATTATTATCCTGGCCACCATCACAATCATCATCCCCACCACCACAAATTTCCTACCCAGATCATTACCACCACTACAATTATTATTATCCTGCTCAGGTCATCACAATAACTATCCTGGCCACCTTATCACCACCACTACCGGTATCATCATCATCACCATCATCATCATCCGTAGTGGTAATATCACATTTTATGCAAATAGGCATAAAGGTGAGGATGGTGGGGACGTGAGTTAAAGGTGAGGGGATGTAAGACTCGGAGTCTAGGGTTCGATGTGTTCACATTACCTACACCTGCCGTCACCACCCCCGGTAAACACACTCACACTACCTGCATCACTACCTCCTGCTGGACGCTGACGGAGGTGTGGTGGGAAGGATTTAATAATTTGGGCTGCGGTAAGAAAGAGGGGTAATGTGGGAGTAAGAAAAATGGAACGATAATATGGATTGTGGTGAGAGGAAAATAGAATAAATTAATTAGCAAGTAGAATGATGATTGTGTGTGATTCCTTTTGCTTCTTACAGCAATAATACTTGTTCAGAAATTTACCCCCTTTTTTTTGGCTTGGTATTAAAATTATCGGGATTATGTGATAAAGTAACATAACTCTAACAAAGTCATTATAATTTTTATGTTTGTGCTGGAGATAAAAGGGAAATAATTATACATCATTAGTATTAAAGGAATACTATCATGGTATTATTATTATTAGGTAGTAAGATTATACATACATATATATATATATATATATATATATATATATATATATATATATATATATATATATATATATATATATATATATATATATATATAATATACAGTATTTTATAGGAAGAAAATGATTAATGTATTAATTTTATTGATACTTAGTGAGAGTTAAGGGGTTAAAAACGATTACCCTGAAATATTAGGTGAGAGTGTGAATTATTTTATGATCATATTTTGTAGCGGTAGAAAATATATATGATTCTGGTAGTACGGTAATAGCAAAGGGTTGTTAGTAGTAGTAGTAGATAAAGAGTGATAATTTTATAATTATTTGTGATTATTACAGGAATGGTTATTTAGAGTGTGGGAAGATGTATTCATTTTTGGAGTAGTTGGTAATGAAGGATTATATTGTAATATTAGGGAAGTAGTTCTGATAATTTACAATCAGAGAAGAGGGTATTAATTTTTGTAGCTGTCGGAAGAAGATTTAAAATTATTAGGATAGTCGGGAAAGGAGAGATAATTTGGACATTAGAAAGGAATGGTAATTGTTTGCAGTTGTATGAAAAAAATTCTAATTGTGTGCTCAAGACGACAGTGAGGACGACTTAAGATGTCATAATGATAAGGTAATGGGCCAGCAGGTTTAATTCCTTCTAATGGGATTTTACCTTGTGGGCTAAATTTTGCGTACGAGAGAGAGAGAGAGAGAGAGAGAGAGAGAGAGAGAGGATGCGTTGTAATAGGTGAAGGTAATGTAGAAAAAGATGGAATTATAATGTAATAATAAAGCAAAAGAAGTAGAAAGGGCAAGAAATTAGATCGATTTATCTGTGACTGCAAAATAAACTGAAGGTGTGAAGAAAACTGAATAATGTTGAGGAAAAATAAAAATACGTGATTTTTTTTAATATACAGTATAAATTACAGAAAACTGAAGATTCTTTGAAGAAATGAGAATTTGTTATATGCAATTGAAGATTTAAAAAAATATTAAGATATTAATAAACTGAGAAATATTTAAGAAAACTGAATATTTGTTGAAGAAACTTGAAAATTTGTGGAAGAAAATTTAAACTTGTTGAAAAAATCGAAATTTGTCGAAGAAAATTGAAGATTTGTTGAAGAAAGATGAAGACTTGTTAAAAGAAACTGAGAATCTGCTGAGAAGGAACCGAGCGTGAGATTACGTAATAAATATAAAATTAACCACTTACCTGAGTGTGTGGCCAAGTGATGCGAAATTATAAATGTGGTTCATATATCAGGTATAACCCGGCGGAGTATACTCGGGCGAGGTATAATCACAGAGAACCAGCAGCAACATGAGGGGGCGAAACGAAGCGCTGAGTCACGGCCGCATATCGACCGCCCCCTCCGCCACCAAACTCGTAGTCACTGCAAGCACCCACCAGCTGTTTCTGTGCTTTCTCTGCTCCTGCCCTGCCTGCTGTGCTTCTTCTGACTGCTCCGGCTGGTCAGTGGCGACGGGAGGAAACTAGGGTCTCGAGGGAATGCTCTGTCGGTGGCGGCTATGCCGAGGGGCCGAGCCAAGAGACCGAAGAGAGACCTACCCAAGAGGAAGAGTGAGTGAAGTGTTGACGCGTGGGGCCCGCTCGACTGTTACTAGTTGTTTTAGTAGTAGTAGTAGTAGTAGTGGTGGTGGTGGTGCTGGGTGGAGCTCACTGCTGGTAACCATTATGTGTAGTGGTGCCTGGCTAGATGTTTGAGTATGACTCAGTGTTTGTGACTAAGGTGATGACGTCGTGACCAGCCGCTATCAGTGGGGGTGTGGTAACATAATGGTGATCAGTCGTGACCAGTCGCTGTGAGGGTGTGGTAGTACAGTGCTGGTGGTGATGTGTGTGTGTGTGTGTTAGTGGTGATCAAAAGTGACGTCGTAACTACCCGCTGGGCCAGTTGTGTGTATTGGAAAGGAATTTGGGAAACTTAGTGGAGCAGTGGACGATGTATAAAGTTGTATAGTAAGACGACGCAATGGTGACCGACGGAGAGGGAGAAGGTGAGAGGTGTATGTTTCCCGTGACACACACACACACACACACACACACACACACACACATGCACTGTATGAATACAGATGCGCTGAAAAAAATAATATGAGATAACAGTTAAAAGAATTCATGAAAAACACTATTTAAATGTGTGTGTGTGTGTGTGTGTGTGTGTGTGTGTGTGTGTGTGTGTGTGTGTGGGGATAGAAAATTATTTTTTTACTCTATAATGTCAGGTGGAGGCATTAGATTTCTTCACGGCGAAAGACAGTGCCAAGGACAGATTGCCATGGGCCAGAATGACATCAACTGAAATCCTTTAAGTTCCAAGGGGGAAAAATTGCAATAGAAGAAACTGCGTATTATGAACCGTTGAAAATATCGGTGTGATGGTTAATTTGGACCCCGGTGAGATATGGAACCGGGTGATCCAGGGTCTTCCAGAAGATTTGCAACCTGATCAAACCTAACCTAACCTAATCCAGTCTAGCATAATATAATCCAATCTAACTTAACCTAAGTCTAACTAACCTTAGCAAACCAAACTAAATCAAACCAGGCGTAAACTAACGCGATCTAGCGTAACATAGTTTAACTCTATAGCCTCACCTAATTTAAGTAAAAAATTAACCTGGCATTAATCTAACCTTACCTATTAACCTAATTTAACCTAGCCTAACCCAATTGTACTTAACCTAACCTAGCCTAGCCTAACATAACCTTATGTAACAACCAGATTAAACTAGCGTAATCTAAACCACACCTGATCTGACATAACCAAAATAATAATATATATATAAAATAAAGGGGTGCGGGGATCCTGAAAATTATTCAAGGTTTTCATTTTCAATTACAGAACGAGGAACCGCGGAGCTCTGTATTATTATTATTATTATTATTATTATTATTAGTATTATTAGTATTATTAGTATTATTAGTATTATTATTATTATTATTATTATTATTATTATTATTATTATTATTATTATTGTTATTGTTATTATTATTATTATTATTATTATTATTATTATTATTATTATTAATGCTGTAGTTTTTGTTCTATTATTATTGTCATTATATTTTTTTATTGTTATTATTGTTGTTGTTTGAAGTCTCAGTGCCATAATGGGGTTTGTAATGCTTCATCAGCTGGAGTTACCATAAGTGGGTCTCTGAGGGGAGGGTGAGAGTGGGTGGGGGGGTTGTTTCTGTATATATTTTAACTGCATGTAATCAACTCAATACCCTCATTTACTGATCTGTCTGGTAATATCAGTCGTGTGAGAGGAAGTTTTTTTTCGCGTGTGAACTTCATGCAACATTAAACCTTTTGGAGTTTATTGTTAAGGTGGTATTTGTTGTATGTTTAATTCTTGTGTATCCAGACGTTAAGTAGTATGCAAGAGAAAGACAGGAACACGGGAATTAACACGAACAGAAAACTAAAGCAGTAGATAAAAGCTGAATGAAAGTATATAATAATAATTTCAGGGTTAATGAGAACTCGGTAATGGTGGCGAGAAGAAGCCAGTAATAAGTGGGCGGAAATAAGGGATGACAAAAGAAAATACATTTCGCAGATAAGAGAGAGGAGAGAAATGAAGACCATAAATAATGAAAGAGGATACTAGGGAGGTGCCCGTACGTACATCAGATGATGAGAGGAAGAAAAAGTGATGACTGGAGGGAAGTAAATGGGTGAGAGGGAAGAGCAGGAGAAAGAGAGCGAGTGGGAGTAAGGGGGATGATGGAGTGGCTGGCTCACCCGCGGGAGGGGGGCATTGACCCCCGTAACACGCAGCCACAAGCACAGCTGATCCTCTCACATACACACACTACCTATCATAGTACACAACCACCACATGCAACGCTGCTGTTACTGTACACACAACACTGGCACAGTTAACCCATGCTCCCTTCTCTTCCCCCGTCCCTCCCACCACCGTCAATTACATCAGTAAAAAATGAAATTTTAGTTGCTTATATGTGTGTGGTAAAGGGGTGCTGCGGGCGAGTGGATACAGTGCTCGCCTCCTGTCCTAAAGATCCTTGGTTTGCGGAGGGGGCACCCCTAGTCGGCCCAGCGGAGTTTTGTGGCATATCTCTTTGTGTGTGTGTGTCCCCAGCCAGCCACTATTGATCAGGGGGTTGTGGTGTTATCAGCCAGTACAACTGACCTTGAAATTTCCTTTCTGGTTATTGATTTATAGTTTTGTTTCCCATTATCGGTCTTATTATTATTATTATTATTATTAATATTATTATTATTATTATTGTTGTTTTTATTTTATTAGTTATTATTAAACTTACCTAATATAATCTATCCTAAGCTAGCCTAGCCCTTCTTTACCTAAGTTATCCTGACTTTTAACCTAATACATACTAACCTAACCTGACCTACTCTACCCAAAACTCTCCAAACTCCTTCCTAACCTAACCTAACCTAACCTAACTCCAAACTCCATCCAAACCTATGTCTAAAAATTGCCTGGTATAGATTTTGTCCTGATGGGAGTTTGTGGATGTTCCAGGGAAGGGAAGTGAGGATGGAAGTGGGAGTAGTGAGGAAAGTGGAGACGGAAGGGAGGGAAGAGGGAGCAGTGAGGAAAGTGGAGGAAGAAGGCAGGGAAGAGGGATTAGTGAGGAAGGAGGAGGAAGAGGACTGAAGGGTAGCTGGTGAGTGGGAAGATGAGATGTGGCGACTCAGGAAGGCCACTGCTGTAGTATGCCTACCAATTCTCTCTCTCTCTCTCTCTCTCTCTCTCTCTCTCTCTCTCTCTCTCTCTCACACACACATACTGCATACAGATGCCAGATAATTTCAAGCGTCCAGTTAATATCAGTGTACAGTAGTAGGCAGTAGCATAAAAGTTGGTCGTGAAATATAAGTGTTTGTCAGGAATAGTTAAGGAACATTTAATAATGTAAATGGAGGTAGATGTTATATAAGATAGGAACACACACCCGGAGGCAGGAACTGAAATAACAAGTGTTTTTATCTCCAGTTAGTAATTAAATATCTGCAACTTGTCAGGGATATGTTTCCAGCGTTATGGCTCTCTCTCTCTCTCTCTCTCTCTCTCTCTCTCTCTCTCTCTCTCTCTCTCTCTCTCTCTCTCTCTCTCTCTCTCTCTCTCTCTCTCACGTTATAACGTAAATATGAAAGGTGAAAATCAGTCTTTCTCTATTTCCCTCTCTCTCCTTGTATCCTCTCCCTTTTCGAGTCTTTTTCCGATTTCCCCGATATTTCCTTCCTTCCTTCCTTCCTTCCTTCCTTCCTTCCTTCCTTCCTTCCTTCCTTCCTTCCTTCCTTCCTTCTTTCCTTCCTGCAAGATGACAACCGCGATGAATTTTTAAAGCTAATTCCCTTGCAGTTCAATTAGTAAATTGTGTTGGGGATACTTGTATATTCTGCAGGTAGGGTACTTACCTGGGCTTCTGGCTTGGACTAGGAGCTGCAGCCGCCCACCACCTGTCACGTAGGTCACCTGTAACGCCGGTGTTTTCTTTTCTCTTTGCAGGTACGTGAGTTTGGGAGTCCCGCAGGGGCTGTGTTGAGTGGCGCTCGTGTTTGCTTTTTGTCTCGTGTATGGTAAGTGCTCAGTACAGCCGGTGGTGGTGTGTATTGTACGTGCTGCATTATACGGTGTGTACTAAAGGGTGTTGGTGTGTACTTGTGTGTTGTGTATAGTAGTTGTTATTTACTACTTTGTGTACTGAAGAATGGTGGAGTGTACTTTGTTTCGTGTATGGCAAGTCTAAATACATATCGTCCTGGTGATACTTTGTTTGTGTATGGCAGATCATTGTGATGTACCCTTTATACTTCCTTGTTGTATATGTTTTACATACATACATACTGCACTGTATGCGGTACGTGCTGGAGATGTATACCTTGTACTGCAAAAGGAAAGGTAAGTGTTGGATGGTACAGTAACACCGAGCGGGAGAGTAAGATGCACAGTGACACTTACCACTCGCCCATCATCGCCACTCGCCCATCACTGATATAACATGTTGTTTACACTCGATGGTAGACTCTTCTGTTTAGGCCTTGCGTTTTGTTGAGTTCGTCTCGCTTACCCCGACCCCTTAACTCGGTTCGTTCCTTCAATCCTTACTTCTGGCAGGCTTTTTTTCCGACAGAGTTCTTTTTAGCAGTGGAAGTAATAGTATATTGGTAGTAATTATAGTACGGGTATACAGTAGTAGTAGGACAGTAATAGCAGTAGTATTACAGTTATAGTATTATTTGTTGGAGTTATCATCCATCTTCCTTCCACTTTTCCATTCATCCTCCTCCATCCATCCATCCATCAGTGGAGGTGGGGAGTCGCTCCGTCACGGTCCACGGCCTCCGCCAACCTCTCTCCACGGCGGGACAGTAATTGTTGCTGTTACGGAAAACTTATCACTTCTGCTGTCGTTACTGCTGCTGTTGAGGCTGCTGCTCTTACTCCTGTTGTTGTTGTTACTGTTGTTGTCGATGTTACCGGACAACTCGGGCAGTTGGAGAGTTGTCTGGGTTTACCGGACTATTCCTTGACACTTGGTCATGCAACTTTTTAACT